AGATACTGCAAGAAGTTTTGCCCGTCAACTTCACATTTCCCCACTTTGACCTCAAAAGATCGGTTCTAGTCCAGACACACATAATTTTATTATTATTCCTTATTTTCTTTTTGTCATCATATAGCCCGCATCCGCAGTGCCTCCCATAGTCACAGCCTGGGGCGTCAAAAGGGCAGTAGTAGAGCTATGGATGGAGGTCAATCTAAATTAATCAATGAACTAGCCTAGTAGGTCTGTGCCCCTGGGCTAGCTCTGCCTCCTTGAGGAAGGCTACCTGAGGTGGTACCTGCCTAATACCTAAGTAGCTGCCCCCTACTAACCAGGTACTACCTGTTACTACTACTAGTGACTAGTGTATTTTACACGCATACTGCGGTACCAAAAGTAAACTATACGGAGAATACCATACATACCAGCGGGTACTGAATGGGGCGTCAGGAAAATAAAAAAATAAAATAAAAAAGAGAGTGGGGGGGAAGAGTCAGAAAATCGGAAAACAGAAAATCAAAAAATCGATTAGGAAAAAATAAAACCATCACAACAATAAAAAAAAATTAAAAATCCAATTCCAAAAAAAATCAATAATAGTTGGCATTTATTATTATTAAATTTATTCCTCCGACACAACTGTCAGCTCCGAGATCTTGGATCAGATCTTCTCCTATAGCGTGCTCTAAGTGTGGAGCAGTAGCCATTTTTCTCTGACCCGTCTCCCTGGTCATTGTATTCTGCTGCTGCTGCTTGTTGCTATAATAGATGATCGTAACCTTCATCTCCATCGCTCCTTGACACCACTATTGTCTATCGCCCTTTCTCTAATTCCAATTCCCCCTTCCGGGTCTCACTTCTCTTCCTATATATCTACCACCTCGACGACGCACCTTCGAACCTTATTCTTTCTCCATCATCAAACAAACTCTCTCTCCCAACTTCCCACTCTTCCTACATAGCCCAACAGCTCGGTTGCGTGGTCATTGCTCCTCCCTCCTTGCTTGCCTACTATCTACCCTTCTCTCGTCCCTTATCCATCACCCGCGTGTGTCTACACTTGTGTGTGTGCGTGTGTGTGTCTCTGGTCTAGTCCGCTCCGGGTACACTAAACCTCCCACACAACCACAACCCCACGGTAAGAAGCCTGTTCCCTTTAAAGACGTCAACCCTTCCCCGCCCACGCATAGTACCTGAACTCTGTCGGCGCCCCCCTTCGACTGTCCAACTCTCTTTAAAAACTCTCCGACCTCCTGGCATTTTCTGAAGTCTAACATTACATCGATAGATTCTCCAACTACCTAAATTCTTCCATCAATCACTCGGATTAATTTTCCCTTGCCAACTACTTCAGCAATGGCTCCCACTCATCGTCGTGGACCCTGGGTTCCTGAAGAGGACCAGTTGCTCCTTCAGTTGGTTCGCGAACAAGGCCCCAACAACTGGGTTCGCATCTCTCAGCACATGCACTACCGCTCGCCCAAGCAATGCCGCGAGCGCTTCCACCAGAACCTCAAGCCCTCTTTGAACCGTGAGCCCATCTCTGCTGAAGAGGGCTTGATGATCGAGCGGATGGTGAACGAAATGGGCAAGCGCTGGGCCGAGATTGCACGACGCCTTGGAAACCGCAGCGACAATGCGGTTAAGAACTGGTGGAACGGCAGCATGAACCGCAAGAGAAGAGGTCTCCCTACCTCCAGCTCGCCTCACGCCGGACGCACAATGCACGGACGGGTCGAGGCCCCATATGCGCGGGCCTCTCTGTCCATGAGCAGCCCCATCAGCCGCTCTCGCTACTCTTCCATCTCCAACGACAGACCTCTGACTTCCTGGACCAAGTCTCCCTCATCTCGGAGGGATTCCTTCTCCGCCGCTTCCATCGACTGCCCCCGCCAGTTGACCCCGATCTACACACTTCCTGCTCTTAACCGCCCAGTGGAAACTCCTCTCACATCGCCTGCCTTCTCCGAAGCTTCTTCCATGGAACCTCCCTCGATGATCTCGGACCACAACTCCGTTTCTTCCTCCTCTCCCAGGACCATCGCCTCGCCACAGCTTCTTCCCCTTCCGGTGGACATGAGACAGCAATACGGCGACTTCCGCAGGCAGAGCACTTCGGACGATATCTACGCCTATCACGATCTGTCGTTGAAGCAACGGTGGATCTCCGATCACCAGCAATGGAACCAGCACTCTCCGCTATCTCCCACATGGTCTGCTCCGATCGAAGACAAGACAGAAGCTCCGCGCGACTCGCGGATGGGTCTTCAGAACTTGCTCAACTAAATGACGATAGCTCCCATTGCTGGATATGATCACACGACCTTTTCTTCTGTCATCGATTTTCTATGGGAAATTTTATGTACATGACCTCCCGACCCTCGTCACTCCTTTGTTTGGCATAATTTCCTTTGTACTTATATCATCACCTCATGTATATTGTCTTTTTGGATGGTTCGGCTCGGCTATTTCCACTGCGGGTCACGTGGATACGGCCCGGTTTCCTTACGGTACCAAAGAAAAGCATTCGGGATCTCCTTTTGTCATAGTTATTGTGTTCCCTTCCCTTATTTTCTTTGTCGCTCATCATTTGGCTTACTGGGTATGGGGTTAATCATTGTGTATAGAGGAGATTGAGGAGTGCTGTCCATTGTTTTGCATGTATATGGCTGGGTTTTGGAGACTTTTGGAAAGTACTGTGAGCTTGGATCTAATAATACCCCATGACTGTTGGTTGTTACCATCGCGCTATCGACCAGATGATCGTTTAATGATACATTAATAATACTTCCACTCAAATAACTCTACTCTTCTATCCCTTCAGTTGTAAATTCCGATTACTGTTTCTTTGAAATTTCTCCTCGACACTGCCACCTCCACTCACCATTCTGGATGGGGTCTTGGTACTTTTGGGATGTTATTTCCGGATTTGGCAGGCTTACTTTTGGGCGCCAGCCAGGCTTGACCGTTGTGCCTATGGACGAGCCCAGGAGGATGATAGGGGGCGAGGGGCCCACTGGAACAACGCCGCATATCCTCCGTGACTGTGGCTGGCTGTCATCAGCTCCTGTCTTCCATGAAAGCCGCGGAATCTTGAGGTTCAGAACGCAAGGGGCGACCCAAAGTTACGAGGCGAGACCGCATGAGAGAGACACGAGCAGGTCAAGGAGGGAAGGCAGCGTGACAGTGCAATTACTGGTTAAACCCCGGGAAATCTAGAAGTGAAAAAAAATAAATAAATAATAATAATAATAATGAATAATAAATAAATAATAAATAAATAAAAATTTTAAATAAAAGAAAGACGCCCAAAATGGAATCTGGGTCATGAAAAAAAATAAGAATACTATGATTTACGAAGTCACATTTGAAGGGGGTGGGAACATCACCACATACATACATACATACAAGGTTGGATGAACCGAGACACAGCAGTAGCAACACCGGACAGCATCCACCAACCGTCGTTGGCGCATGGCAGACCACCTCCACGGAAAAGTGGAATGGATAGGTCCATTTAGGAACACAGCTGACGACTGTCTGATCCAATCCTTCCCTTGGAGTTTGGGGATTGGCATGACGAATGGATGGGTGGATTTTGGAAGTCGTGATGGTTCATGCATAACGGCCACTGTCATGGAAGTGCTCTCAATGGCCGGAAGACCTTACCCTTTCCCCCCTCCCCTCCACTACCACCACCACCACTACTACTTCCTCCTACTGAAGTACTACATTAACTTGGCCCCAGTTGGGATGGGCTCTAGGAGGTAAGGTTGATAGCCAGACAAAGTTTATCCCAGGGATTTGGTGGATTCCGATTTGACTTGGGTTGATTCGCCAGCGCCCCTCCCTTTCCTTGTCTACCCTCCCTTTCTTTACTCGTTTGCGCACATGTCGCTAACGGTCTCGAAGCAGGGCTGTCCCGTTTTGATTTCAGTTTCTTATTTATTTATTTACTTTTATTTTACGTTGTGTTGTTTTGACCTTTGCGCAAGCATTCAACCTGGATAAGGTAAGTAAGCTTGTTGGACATTGAACAACCGCCTGTCTCATTTGGGACCCATCCGCGGTACGAGAGTTATGGGGGGATGGGGAATTCGACGGGCTTCATTCCCCCATGGACTTCTTGTCATGTCAGCAGTCGAGCGGTCCCCGAATCGGGCTCCAAAAATGGCCTATAGTCAAGAACAGGCAGAAGAAAGGCTAAAAACAAAAAAAGAAAAGAAAAGACAAAAGTGAAAATGGAAAAAAGAAATATAACGAAGCGCAAAAGGACGAACGATAAGAACAATGAGCAGCCTTTCCTACTTTCCCCTCCATTCCCGCCACATTTTCCTCAAAGATGTGCCACTACTACGACCTTCCTGGTCTGGACTTGGTGTCCAACTCACTAGTGGCTTTTTGGGCTATCCCAATCGTGACGTGCTGCTCGGAGACATGGCTGCTTCTTTCCAACCTGACTCGCCACACTCGCGACGGATACCAAGCCACACCCAGTGAAGGGGAGGGTGCTGCACGTATGCCGATCAGGCAATCACCATGACTGATCAAGAATGAAGGCATCGGCGGGGTCACCGAACGCAGGAGCTGTAATCCACTCGGGGGTGTATGCACTGGCACTCATGGAGTGTCTCCAGTTCTCTACGCTGTGCATACCCACGACTTGTGGTCTGTTTCAGCCAATCTAACATCTCACACGCACCACTGTTGCGCTGCCATGCGTGCATGAGCATACCAGCTCCTGCTCGCCTACCGGTAGGCGGTGCAGATTCAGCCGGGGTCAAGGTTGGGTGGAGTCAAGTCCAAGGGTGAGGGAAGGATGATGCAGCTCGTTCTGGAGGACGTTGGCTCGCCAGTGACCCTCTCTGACGACCATTTGCCGATAGAGAATCCCCTACGATTCGTATCGAGTACGCATGACTATGTAGATATCTCTCAGACGCATAGGTTACACATCAGTACATCCACATACACAGACACACCTACCAGGTTAGGCATACTCTGACACAAAGGTTCCGGGGGTTACACAGGACCAAATTTGGGCCTTTCTTGTGACGTTGAATCGCTTATCAAGTTCCAGAACAAATATAGCATGAAACAAGACCTTCTACATCCGTGCCAGTCGCACCATGCGGGAACCCAGTACTCCAGTGAAGTAAAAGGAGTTCGACAATACGGGGTGGACTACAATGCCAACACCAACACCAACAATGGCCTAGTGAGGAAATGAAGAAGCAGCAGCAGCAGCAGCAAATCAGTCACCGCCGGCGCACTGGATCTGGAGCCCTGCCGGCCAAGAGATTCTCGCATTAATTAACTACCGCTGATCTTTTTTTACATCTGATTTGGAATTCTGGTCACTAGCGCCCCGCTAATCCACTTCCGTCCACTCGCGACATACACACCGTGACGTACCCTCAGTTCCATCCCCGATCCTCCATCCTGATTTGACAGACGGACTAATTAGGAGATTTGCACCCTTCACATTATGGGGGAGAGAGGGTGGTGAACGACAACCGATCTGTTCATCTCGTTACCACTCATCCAAGTTTCCCCCCCTTCCTCCTGTTCTGGTTCGAGCATGTTCCGCTTCTCCGATCCATTGGTCAAGGATGAGAGAGGGCTTGGCAGTGGAGCCCTGGGCGACCGTTACACAATCTCCACGATGGCATATTATTCTGGTGGAAGCATCGAATGAGGTTCCAGCATCCGAACCTGCTGCGGATGCTCTGCAGATAGAGCAACTCAAGTTCCAACAGCGCATCCATGGATCCCCTCTGAACACACGACCCAAGATACGGGGTACGTCAGTTGCCAAGCAGGCAGACAAGTCCGGCCAAGCGATCGTCGATATTAACAATTAATGTTCGAAATTGATTAGGCCCCCAGGCACACACACACGCACAACGCTCAGTCAACTGTCTGGATGCATTTAAAATTGATTATGGTTAATTTGTAGTATATTGCAGTCTATCACCACTACTGCCGCCGGGTATAGCATCCTGACAGCTGAAACAATCCACCTCCAACAATTCAGTTTAGTGAAGCAATCTACAAACCTTTGTCAGTGTCAGGTTATTTTTAAAGCTGTCTCGTTTATCCCCATTCCCATCACAAACCCCCCTGCCGACTCTATCGGCCATCTGGTCGCCTGCCCAACAGAGCCGATGCGGTTGTTTCGGGGACCTTAATATACCACTGTGGGGATTAGTGCGTTCAGCCAAAGAGAGAGAAAAGAGAAAGATGTTGAATCATTGGCGCACCTCTTCATTCATCCCACACCCCCTGTCTTCTGCCCAAATGATGCGACATTAGTATCCGATATTAATAGTAAGATTCTGTTACTTCTCCCCATAACTCTTGGTTTGTACTAGTGATGTGGATTTGTAGTTGAAGCGTTGAGGCGCGAATATCCCTTTTTTTTTTTTTTTTTCTTTTTATCCTAAGAGAACCAACCTATGGAGTAGTTTGACTAACTATTCTCAGATTTACGGTTTGATTTTCCCTTCTTCCCGCACCCGGTTTGATCGTCAGCTATGCAGATTTATGCATGGATGGGGAGCTCTTATTGTTCCAGATAGATTGTTTATAACAGCTTTCTTTCTCTCCTTCTCTGCCTCCTCCTCCAGGTCTAATATTGCCACTCCAATAGTCGCTGGGTGCTGCGCCCTCCTAACTATTACCTTCCCCCCAAAACCAAAGCCCAAAGGGGGCGGCGCAGACACCATTCAGCTGAGCTCGTATGATCCTCATACATCATACATCATACACTCAACAACAATCCTATCCCATAACAGACGTTGTTATTACCATCAACGCCCAACATCCATCTACTTCCGATACCTGACCAGAAGGAGGAGGAGAATGGGGGCGAAAACAGAACCAGAAACGACCCCCAAACTAAAAGCAAAAAATAAAATCAAAAATAAATCTACGATATCTACAAAAACCTCCTCTCGATCTGATCGAATCAAATCAACCCTAGCCGATTTCCTCAAACGGAAAAAGCTCAACATCACTACCAACCCGCCCGCTCCGCCCGCCCAACGATTTGATTGATTTTCCCCGATCCATTCCATCCCATCCTCATCCATGGATCCATTCATCCCACCCACACTGGTTTGATCTCCTCCCACCGGCCCAATCCCTCTCGTCACGATTCTAGTCGCTTCTCCGTAATCATCCACTTCCAACCACTCAGAACCTCGTCTCCCCTCCCCAGCCTGTGAGTAGTGATCTTCCCGCGGTCCCTGCGAGGCAGAGTCTACCTACCTACCGCCGGTCGGCGCGGTTAAAACGTCCTTTCTCCAAGCGACCGACCCAGAACCAAGGGTTGGCTTTTCTCTCTTAGTCCGAGTGCTGTGTTTATGTGAAACGGTCGCGCGAGGCGCTGTGCCCGCGATTTACATTCGGTTAGAGAGGCATTCCCACCCTCCTCCTCTTTCTCCTGAATCGAATGGGATGGATGGATGGGATCGAATCTGGAGAACTTGAAATCGGAAACGAAACGTGATCGATGAGATGGGTGGTGGTGGTAGTAGTGGAGCTTTGTTCGCTACGAGGACGAGGCTGGAGATCGATCACTGTACACGTTCTATCGGTTCACAATGGTAAACTAGTATTTCTCCTTATGAGGATTTTTTGGATTCTCCCCCCATCTCCTATTTCTGATGAACCTTCCCTTTTGGTGGGCTTCGATATCGGAGTGTTGGACTTTTTTGACTTTTTTTTTTCCCTCCCTTTCGGATAAGGGATCGGGACGGGACTTTCGGGAAGAATATTTATCTACTTACCGTACGTACCGTATCTGCGGATAGGATAGGATAGGATAGGATAGATACACACGGCACGCACACACCTACCTTATTCTGTTGAGGCTTGCTTTCACAAGGCGGGAAAATACAGCCGCCGCTGCTACTGCTACTGCTACTGACAATGATAACGTATCAATTAGGTAGGTTGTAAGCAACACCCCATGAGGCCAGCCAAACGATAACCGGAGGAAAAAAAAAGGAGTGGGTCTCAACTCACCCTTTCTTTCTTTCTTTCTTCCTTTCCTTCTGGCCCCTCCTCCCCTGCTGCCCAGCCTGGCCCTGAACAATGAGTGCAGCAGGCATGACATGACACAAACCCCCCCTCCCTGTCTCGCCAGTTTTATCCAGATTGATAAGTAGTGCCCAAGCTTAATAGTGGCTGATATAGATTACTTTACCGCATAGCATACTCAGTAGAGAATAGTAAGTAAGCTATGTGTAGATGGGTCGCTGTTAACTTCTTACCGTTTATTCTTGTTTAAGCTTCAACCCCTTTTTTTTCATTTAAAATAAACTCATCCATGGAAATTGACTTTTTACCGTTCCGTGAACTTTCCCTTTCGTTGCGAGGTAGGTAACCGGTACAAGAATAATGCTAATCGGAGGTAGAATTTGGCCGCGTTCCGAAGCATAATTGCAGTATGGCAATGGCAGCGGTACCCATGGCGGCGGGTATATCCGATGGAAATTGCAAAACCACCTACCTAATATGACTGATGAAATTTAAGATCTGAAAATTGGTCCTGAGCTTGAGCTCCATTGCTACTTACTTAGTTCACTACTATCTAGGGCATGTGTTGAGTTTCAACAACGCGGGAAATAAAAAGACAGATTTAGTAAATTTGGAAAAGGTTCCAGACAATCAATTCCATCCATCCCACACGCTCCATCTCCAAGTGGTGGTGCTTAGGTTAGTGCGGGCTGAACGAAGGAGACCAGGGAGAGGATTAGACATCCCGCGCGCTAATTGGTCAAGCGTAAATACTGACTACTTTTACCTCCTCATACTTCTATTGCTGAGGGGAAATCATGGTTTAAGAATAAATTAATTGCTTCCCTTTGCATATACCCTATGAGGTTAGTTAACTGTGCAAGTGCGGAGTGTGTCCGTTGCTTTAATGGGTAGTAAGCTACTAGCTAGCTAGCTAAGGGGAGTTAAGTCTTGCCCGCATTTCCGGGTGGTTTTATTCGTCTGTCGGACCGGGATAGCGGCGCTGCGCCTATAGCGGAGGACGATATTATTGTGGTGAGAGGAGGTGGGTGGTATCTTTGATTCGATTGTTCCGGGGAGGGAGGGGGTTGAAGTTGGTACTTATTGTAATCATCATTCGATTTCATTGTGATTGGGGTAGTACTTAGTGTAGGTTAGATAGACACTGCATGCATTACTGTCATTATGTAGATATCTCTACTACGTACTATTTATCAACGCCACTGCTTAATTCTCCTCCCAGATACATACAAAGTATCTTCCTCTCCCACTTCAGGGTCTAATTACTCAGGGATCCATCAATTAACCCCAATAGTACGGCAGGGTCATGACGACGACGACGACGCCGCCGACCTATCCATTAATCCCACTCCGTCTTTATTTCTCCTCTCTACTAATCCTTCAGTCTAACTACGGAGTTAGTCTACTAGATACTAGACTAAAGGCAGCGACACCACCCCCCTGGAACAGAGTGGAACCACTGGCCACCAGCAGAACTAAGTTAGCGCAGCACAGTCTCGACGTTGAGATTTGAGCCGATTCCCACCACATGATTGGATGTCGGAGGATCTCGGTGTGGGAGGTGAGTGGGTGATCGATGATCGACTTGGCCAGGTTAGGATTAGGGTACCCGCCTTGCCGGTCCGCCCGTGATCGGCAAGCAAAAACGCAACTAATCGCTGGGAATTTTAATTTTTTTTTTTTTAAATCGTGGTTTGGTTATAACAAGTTAGTTCGTATTCTGTAACGCTACGCTACTTTACTGAGGGAGATGGTGTTGGGTAATGTGAGGTGTCATTTTTGGTACCTGAAGGAAAGTAGTATATAGGATATTATGAAGTATATGAAATTTGATGATTTCAGTTTAATTCTCATGTAAGCTTTCATGATAATGAACATATTCCCAATTTGTACATAAAAAGCGAGCAAGCAAGCAAAAGCGCATCAATGCTCCCCGAGCGCAGGGACCCCCCGAAAAACACTAAGTAGATAGTTACCTTGTTGATGGATAGACAGATGGACGGACAGTCGACTTACCGCACACCTACACAGACCACTTTCCCAATTTGAGTGCGACTGCGATTCAGCCAAGGCACACCAGCTTTCCGACACCATTGACAAGTATTTGTCAACTGGGTGGGTCCCTCCCGGTATACTCCGTATGACACTAAAAGTTACTTAAGTGAGTGTGGGTATGTAACATATCCTTGTATAGTGTGTATCTTAGCTTAGTGTGTTTTCTTGGTAACCGCATACAATACAAAGATACAAGGGGGGAGGAGGGCCGCCAACCAAATACGCAATACGACCAGGGACAGCGCCCAATGCACAAACCCCTTCTACGTAAGGAGTTCCTGCTAAACCACGTGGAGATGGGCTTGTCAGATACAAGCCGTTGCGCGTGTATGGTTTTGTATTGTATTGATACCACACTTCTGCCTTTGTTTTTGAATGGTATTACGCGTTTGTATGGGCGTAAATCCGTATTGGGCGAGGAGGAGAGAGGGGGGCGAAGTAGCTCAGCTCAGCTCCATCCACCATAGCCCATCCATGACTATAGTATACTCATGTCTCTTCTACGTAAGTTATGTGGTAAACTCAATCACAACCCTACCCAACCCCCTTTGTCTGTCTAGGGGCAAGTCCGAATTAATTATTTTTCTCTTTCTTTCTTGCTTACATTCTCGCAGTGATGCTGTTACGACAACGGTTTTTGGCAGCGAGGCTGACGGACGGATTAGATCGGACTTATTGATTCTTCCCCCTCCCCCCCTGCCACCCAAGTCACTCACCCTTGCTGATTATGAATTTGAGTTTTTAGTGTTTATGTTATTTGATTGTTTATGTACATACCTGCTGTAACGGGTTAGAGATGGACAAATGGAATAGACAGCTACGCCATCGTTTTACTTTACACATTCCACGGGAAAGTAAAGTAGGACTTGTGTAACCAAGCCACACGATCCGATCGATCGGCGGCGCCGACATACTTACTAGGTTACTTACCTTTCCAAACTAGTTGGTTAGGTTAAGTATGGCATGTATGTATGTATGCGCTTAGGCAGAGTTTCTGGTCGTCTTCACCTAAAGAGGATGTTTCATGACTCGCGTTTCTCAAATCATTAAGGGGGGCGCCGGGGGGGGGAGGCAAAAGGGCAGGGATGCGTGTTTGTGTTTGTGTTGTGTCTATTTTTGCTTTGTTTCGAAGTTCGACGGGTTGTTCTAGGGTGAGGGTGATCGTGTGTGGGATTGATTGCCTGATGGATATTTACAAAGTATGATGGAGATAGGAGAATCATAGTATAGATGTATTAAGGTAGGGGCGGGTTTCAGGTATTTCTTAGATAGATAGTATCTATCTACTGTATGTGTCTGTGTGTCTATTCGTTTGTCCAGTTTCCCCTGACTAAATTGGTCTACATCAGAGGGATATTATGCATGATGTATCGGTATATGTAGATGTAGATGGATGGGGAAGGAGGATAAGCATGACAACCGAATAGCACGACCTGTCCTGTCCTGTCTGTCTCCAGATCATATGCACAAGGCTAACTAGCCCCCATCCATCCATCCATCCCTGCTGGTATCATCCTCCACGGTTCCCTGTATGTAGGATTGTCTGACTCCGGTTTCTCCACCGCAGGATGGGGTCAATTCAGACTAGGAGATATTGGCTGCATGAGGAGCCACCGATAGTACGGAGGATAGTTGACCAACCAAGTTGTCAGAGTCGAGGGGGCGCACGATCCAGCCTCGAGACGCGAAAAAGAGGAGAATTGATGCGAGAGTGGCTGCTAGCTAGTACCCATTAGGATATCAATTCAAGAGGATCCTGTACTACGACAGATCGTCGCGAGGGAACGAAGAAGGAAGGAAGACGAACCGGGATCCTGGGTTCGCGTGACCCCTACTGTAAGCCATCAAGTTGAAGGAAGAAAAGAAAAGAAAAAAGTCTATAGTGCCATTGAGAAAATCCCTGTTTTTTTCCTGCTTGACTCTGTGATCGCTTTGTTCTCCGCGATTATCGATCGCTGACCAAGCGTGGATGCCATGTGTGTGGTGATGAGAAGAGATAATGATTATTTTACTTTTGTATGATCCGGTTTCAATATCTACGCTGCTCATTATAGAGTGTCATAGCCTCAGCTAGGGTCTTTTTCTGTCATCCACTGAATAGTCTACTCACTTATGTAGGTAGAAGACGAGCTAACCGAACCCAAAAATCTTTCTTCACTAGTGCCACTCGACTCGTCCATGAAGATACAGACTCAGACTCAGGTTGGCGTAGTTAGTGAGGCTGGCTAGCTGACATCACGACCAGCCTGTTTGACGGATAACCCAACTAACCAACGATGATAAACCCCGAAGGCGAGGAGAAAAGGTCCCCGATCCCGAGCCACGCAACCATCCCATCCCCGTTCCCCATCCCCCATCCCTCCGCTAGCTAAACTAGTGGGGATTACCTGTTGAAGCCGCTTGCTTTTGCATCGAAGGATTGGAATGCTGGTTATTGTCATACATACGCCATCCTTGCTGCCTTTGGAGGAGGAGGGGAGGAGGAGGTAGGTGCTCATACTGGCTCGACGGTCGTTACTATCCCTGCACGCGGGTTGTAAACCGCACCTTTGCAGCAAGGCATGCGGATTTGGAATTCTCCGTTGGAGGCTGCATGTGATGCCACCGGGTTCTTGTCCCACACGATGCTATCCATCTAGTGGCCGAGGGATGAAAGTACGGTTTGGGCGTGGTGGATGGATGGTGCTGGATAGGTCAGAAGTGGCGAATGAATGGATGCGGATGCCTGGGAGAGGGGGTGATGTCTTGTGATCAGTTAATGATGCTTATGCATGATTCAGTATTATGTAGTCACTGCTTGAGGTGAGTGTAGGCGTTGGTATAGTCAATGACGGACATGAATGATGTTGATATTGACTTCTATAAGTGTGAATTATGGCTTCACAGTGATAGAAAGAGGTTTGTATTAATTTGTAGCTATCTGCTGCTTCCATTGCTTTTCTCCTCTCTACTCCCATTGTATTCTATTATAGAGATACAGGCAAGTGCTGTATATTCCTAAGTCGCTCCTCATTAGTCTACCTTTTCGCTCATATCCCACTATGGGGCGATCTCTATTAGCAAAAATACCATATACTCTTCTTATATTCTTCAATAGTGCAGTATCAAAGAGCTTTATATCACAGAAAAACATGTATCCCACACTGAAGCTGATTCTCAACATTACAGACCCTGAAGGAGATAAAAAATATCGCATCCTCTACCACTCCTCGCCAGCAACCCGTCAGCGACCTCTGCGCGCGTTCAGAATTCTCAAATCTTCGTTATTCAAGGAGATCGAATAACCATAGAAGAACATGTGCGAACATGGTGCTAGCGCCGATGTTTACGCTGGGCCACAGAAGACATCATGGCATTCTTTGAATACCATATTGCGGCTCAGAGCAGAATCCTACCGATTCTGAGGATGCGTCTTCCGTTGATGGAATATCCACATTTTCAGGCAATGGGGATTGAGAATAAGCAGCTTCCCGGCCTGTGAGGGCGTCTACATGCAACACTAATAGCGACAGCGTTGTTTATAGTGTCTATCGGATACCAACGCATCTCACTCGCTCCATTTTGGGGGACGGATACGGCCTTCTTGTGCTCTTGCACCAGAAGGATCAATGTGTTGATTCAATTACCAATATGTGCCTTGGGGCCAAAGGATCCCTTTATATATGACCGGAGAAGTACTAAGCTATACCTCTGCATGAGAGACCATCATATGTGTCGCAAGAACGTTGGCTATCTTAGAAGAAGTTGCCAAATTACTTGGGGACTACCTATGGGTCGGCTAATATCTTGCTCAGATCACACCAGTTGGCTTTGCCCCGTTGCTTCCACTACCAGTATTTCCTAGCAGCTAGCTCTGCAACCACTAATCGGACAAGTTCTCTAGGTCGTTCAACTCTTGCTCTGCAAAACCTCGTTTGCAAGAAAATCATGATCCATTTCTTATACTCCGCATATGCAAGTGAAGGAGTCTTATGGGGTGAGCATACCAGGAAAGCGCCGTCCTCATCTACATATCCGTCAAAGAGCCAATCCGCACTATTTATACATAGCATGCTAAATACAATCACAGCAGCATGTATCGCCATCGTCGACACTCCATACCGGTCCTCTTACTCCACGCGGTTATCCATCTCCCATGGCAGCTGATCCTGCACATGCGTCGATACGGCCCATTCTCCCTCCGTCCTACACGCTCCACAGACACAGTATCTCGGCTCGGTCGAGGGCACGTCTACCACGATCCATGATTGGCATCTGAGGAAATTCGTGAGATACAAAGGAAGACATGTCGTCCAACATACAAGCCTGGGCATATTCGAGATAGAAGATTATAATGGGGAATGACGCTAGTAAAGCACAAGAAGGAGATGCCTGGTTAGGGACACATTTCGATACTGGAAATATATCTGCTTCTTGGAGAACTTATGGTCTAGTGGACTTATCGAGCTTTTCTAGGATACTTCATACCACAGAGAAAATCCCCAGGTACATGCCTCGGGCCCTAAGCTACCTTGATTGTTGAAAGCATTGTAGCAGCTCCCCATATTTTCGCATGACTTGTTGAATGACCTAGAGCACGACATTTTTGCCGTTTTGCATACAGCCCTATCAAGACAGCTAGCTACCAGATGCTCCCTTATATGGTTCCGTCGCAAATCTAATCTAGCTACCAATGCAGATTGGCACAATGAATCCTGTCTGGGTTACAAAGAAAGTTTTCCATCAACATCAACGACTACAGGATGGCCGAAATTGCGACTCACAGTCGGGCGTAAATATATACTAGGCACCTGAAACTTCGAAATTGTTCATACATGTCAAAGCTTTGCCAAGTAGGCCAGAATTGATCTCGATTATGTATACTCAAGTCATACGGAGAGGTATGTCCCAACATATATTACTTAGCAACTCGCGGCAGCGGACTTTATCCTGCAGTTATTCCTACTGGGGCTTCCCTAGGTGTCCGAAGATCATTTGAGAAACGGGAATAATGTTTTTGAATCTCATTTCTCTCATCAATGGTGACAAGCGACAGTGTATCTACGAATAATATTCAAGATTACCAAGTGATGTCGCCTGCGCTATGTGCTGCGATGTCTGCTGCGATGTCTATATAGAATCATCTCGTTGCCTGAACAATCTTGTCACAGCTAAGGGGATATTACCATAGGCAGATTAATGGAGTACCTTCTACATCGGATATGCCCAGCATCTTTTCCGGGACTTGTGGCTTTCACTACCAAGTCAGAATCATCTTTGCGAGAATTTCTCAACACATAACAGGTTACTATCCCATATCATTCAAACCATTAACCACAGTGTCTAGGGACGTCTACAGCCGTGCCAAGTACGCTTCCGGGGTCGATCATACAGCACCTAATGAAACAATAGATGGGAAAAGAATGGCCCAGTAGCTGTCCTCGGGTTTCACTCCACCACAGCGTTCGGACATTATTAGCAAGGGTTATTCTCTGTCTTGCCAGTCGACTTTGGGGCAAACTGTAAGGTAATTTGACTGGGTTTCAGTGGTCTAGCTTCATCCAATGCGACTAAGAAATGCAGCAAAGACAGGTACAAACATCTGCATTAAATTCACAATACCAGATACAGGTCCCTAGGAGAAACACGCGCAGTATCTTGGTTAAGATAGCATCATGTCTCCAGTCCAAGCCAGTCTGTCTCCGTAATATTCAACAGATCGAGTATATGTGAGTTGGGAATGTATCTGCTCAGAAGTTATACGGATGTATCTCAACTCGATCGTTGCCGGCTTCTCCCTTACTATCTCTCTACACAGCTGCAGGCGCTTGTCAGAAACCAGTACGCCGTATTTAGGTGCTTCCAACACCCGCATCTTCTTGATCGAGTATCCTTTTCTACCTTCTTACTTGTTCTCCCGTTTGCTTTTCATCCATTTTCCTTGGCTAGGATCAGCCATCATCTACCTATCTAAATGAAACACCAAACACATTTGCTGTTTCTCTTGCTCTTGACATCATTAGACAGGCGCCCTTGGCCGAGGTGACCGTAGCACATCTTCATGAAACATCATATATCATATCAATTTAGCAGGTATTCTGCTTGTAATCAAGTCGACAATCCTGTGCATGCATGATTCATGGCGGGTGGATGCACAGCTTAGAGACTGAAAGCATGGATTGCAATATATGAGGCGGGATGTATCGGGTATAGAACGAGACTGAGGGGTATTGTGACCATAGTATGGTGATGAGCAATCGTTTAATCTGGGTGGTGTAGATGGGCTTTAGACAGCGTATTTCAAGTTCATTTGCGAGGAAATTATCATATTCGAGATAAATAAATGCCACGGGATACTTATATCCACTCTAGGGCCCGCGTGAATATATACCAACCATCATGATAGTAGCGGAATCATGTTGAGCGCCGGGTAACTCAACCCAGATACCCAAGCAGTAAGACACAACTCCAAGAAAAATGAAAATACAAAAAAGTATTTAAGCCAAATAGCATACATTAAAACATGTTCCAATAGATAAAAATTTATAACGGCAAGCGGAAAAAAAAAAAAGTGCAAAAAGAAGTGACTAGACTGGGGCTCGATCCCAGGACCTTATGCGTGTGAAGCATACGTGATAACCAACTACACCATCCAGCCAACTTGTTGATGTTTGCATGCCCACAATGGTACATACGTAGTTCATACATACACAGTCATTTCAATGCTCAGCGTGTTCGGCGCCAAATACTCCATGGTGTGCCTGTCCTCGTTGTCGTCTCTGTTGTCTGTGTCAACCATAGAGGTGGTAGGAATGGCGGGACTGCTTCTTTCTGAGACCTCGCCTCGAGGATTTACTGCGCCCCAACATGTACTTCTACTGCTGCCTTCCAGTCACATGGACTTATATAGCCACAAGGCTTGAAGCCAGCCGCAACTGGTGCCTGGCACAGGATCAAGACGAGGCTCTCTTAATCCCAACATGACGGCCATGAGATATAAATTTGCCTATAACCAGAAATATATTCTGCTTTCATTGGAACAACTTAGCTATTCCCTCCTTCTTTTGCCTCACCCCGCAACGCAACTGCGACCGTTTTTAACTCGCTGACCCTATTGTCGAGAGAATAGTTTATTGTTTGGCATCCTTTCTAGGCTTCTCTTCATTCTAAAATCATGGCTGAACAGTTCAACAAGCTTGTTGATACAATCGGTGGATTGAGCCTTGCCGATAGATCAACCTCTCACTGCTCGAACCCAACTCAAACCCTCGTGAAGACGATTTGGGAGCTGGTAAAATCGTGCCAATCCACTTCAGCAAACGCAGCACATGTTGGGACCGTGATCGAAGGCACACAGACCCCTAGCGGCCAGGATATTGCAAGACTGAGCTCCTTGAGAAAAGAAGCCGTTGCCCTCGAGCAGATCACGAAGAACCTCAGCGATGCCACTGAGAATTACATCATAGCGTACATTATATCGCTGGCTGGTCCATGGACGCTGGAGCAGAAAATGTTACTGCATTTTAGTGATGAAGTGAGGCGCATCATTCGCAATGTGCTTGACGATGCCAACACCGACGACTGCAGCGTTGTGCGAAAGATTTTGGAAAACTGCTATGACCAGTCTCTTCGTGCCTCTGGGACTCTGCACCCCGCTGAGTACTTTGATTCTCTAGAGGAAGCTAGTCTCGAAGAGCCGTATGATCCTGACTTCGAAAGCGAGGAATACTACGAGCATGAAAATCGACTTGCTATCGACGATAGCTATGCTGAGACCTTGCGCGTGCAATGCGAGCGCAGAGCTGAGAGAGAGCAGCAGCAAAGGGAAGAATGGATCGGGTTTTGGGTTCGTGCACTGGGTCAATGTCCTGATGAGCCCACCACGCTATTCTATTCGCCAGCAAATAGTCTTCTCAATTCTCATCTGGCAGAGGTACCGCGATACTTGTTTCGAGCGTTTGACGACGCAAGCTCTGGCTGGAGTGACAACCATATTGTAGCTTCTGCTGAGAGCCGAGCCGCAATATCAGAGCGCAGCAGAACAGATCTCCTCTCGCGGTCGAGAGGGGAAATAACACGAATGCTATACAGTCATCTCAAAAAATCTTTGTTTGGAGCTGAGGACACCGACAACTTAATGTCGTGGAGTAGTTCTTTGATGTTTGTCATTCAATACGCGATTTGGAGATGCAACAAACGTCGGTGTGACCCCTCCGAGGTCAAAATATGCATGGTTGACACGAGGAAGTTCCCTCGTGGACAGTTCGCCCGGGACAAGTCGCTACTTCGGGCGTATCGTGATGCTCCTGAACTTGATGAGAATAGGCGGAGGTTCTTTGATTTTCGTTTAGAGGACCCATATTATGACAATGGAGAGTATCTGTCGCAAGGGGTATTGCATCATGCTGGGCGGTCTAGTGTGGTGTCTCTGGAACAGCTCATTCACGCGGGATTATATGATCTTTATCCTGAATTTCGGGATCCTGCTTCGAGGAACTTATGGACGAACCGTGTTGGGTCTCTTCGTTTAGCATGGTCCAATGAGCATACAACAACCCAGCTTGACATACGAAGTGCAGTCAAAGTGGCCAGAGAGTGCTTCAATAATTATTTCAATGCGCTTGATATAGCATTGGTGCTATTATCATTCAAAGAGCGCAAGCTCCGCACCCCAGCAACAAAAGCACCCCAGCAGCAGAGAAACTCCCATGACTTTGGTCCAGTCGAGGTTCAACGATACACGACAATAATAGAAGATATGATGGCGAAAGCCCGAGGCATTCCGATTGCTTTACGAGGGTTCACAGCGGACAGCCAGCTTGAAGAAATTTTCGAATGCTCATAGTGAGTTTTGTTACTGAAGATGGTTGGTATCCCTATAATGTGTTGGATCGGAGGTGCAGGTTATGAATTAATTAGGATGCATGGTGGGATGAGTAAGTTCAGTTGAATACACTATTCGACATAAGAGTCAGTGATCATCTATAGTTAGTACGAGTCAGTGCTCTGTAATAACCACAGAAGTAAATCTGTTCATGCATAAGCCTGGCTGCCTAGACACCAGCTCATCGAATCAGTACAGACAGCAAATAGTAAATATAAATACGGCATATGCCCATGACAATATTCAAATAACATCCAAAGGCACCACTCGCTCTATCATTCGCTACTCCAAAACACTCAACCCGACAGGTTCGGGGAGTTCCAGGCATCATCTCAACCACAACGCCTACCCAAGATATCAATCATTGTCATAAACCCAAAACAATTGCCCGCCAAGCTGCTGATACACAATCACACAGCCTCCGGGGATGTCATCATCATTGATCCATTCCTTAGACACACACACACATCCAACGCCAATATGCAAAAATTCCACGCACACAAGATCAAAATACCCAGAATTGACAGACCAAAAGGGTCATATGCACAGACATAGACCTACATGCCGAGAATCGAGACAAATAAATATAAATAAACATCACACCATATCCAACGAGAAACAGAATCGCTCAAGGGGTATATTCTGATGCGCACATCATAACCAGATATCGCCTTCTTCGCCATTCACCCATCTTTGCCAAACTCGTTCGTAGGCGTCCTCAAGATCACGAACCCAACGCTTCGTATCGAAAAGCCTGCTGGACCACCGCTCCTCGAACAGCATCCGGCGCAGGTCGGCTAACCTGCCCGTCGCATGACCTTGTCCACCAGGCTGGTACTTCAGACTGAGACACAGGCGAATGGCCTTATTCTCATAGTCTTCGTCCGACATGGCGATCAAGTCCGACTGAGCCTCGCGGCCTGCGTCAGACTTCGGCAGAGCACTGCTCAGAATGCTGCTTGCCATACGCGAGCACATTTTGTACTTGTACCGAGGCAGGGTCAAGAGGGGCGTGCCACTCCATAACACATCGGTCGCTGTCGTATGAGCATTGCATTCTGGCGTGTCGAGGAACAGATCCAGGATCTTTGCTCGCGAGATGTGCGTGTTCTTGGGTGCAACGTCGGTGAAGATGATCCGAGATGCTGTTTCCTCCCCAGCCCAGGCAACGGCTGTCTCACGAAGGTTCTGTTCACCGAGGTCGGGAAAGCGGAGGAGCCAGAGGACGGCATTAGGGATCCGTGCCAGGATGCGTAGCCAAGTGCGGAAAGTCGTGGGTTCAATCTGACAGAACTGTTAGTTTGGCCTGACCTGTCGTCCCCTGTGTTGCACTTACCTTGTACAACTGGTTGAAATTCCCAAGTATGATGGTGTCATCGCTCAGATTTGGAAACAGTTCCTTACGCATGCGCCACCGTCGGGCCTGCTCCTGATCCCAAGCCAGGCGAGGATCTTGAGCATCCGGAGCACTTTGCCGATGGTCACAGCAGAAGAAGGTGTCGCGAGTATAAACAATCTTCTCGCCGTACACCCAGTTCTCAAGATCCTCACCGTGGTCTTCTTCGAGTAGCCGATCCTCCATCCGTATGTTGCGCCGTCCAGGGGAAAGGGTCTCGGGGGGAATAGAGAGCTCGTCCGCAAGGATGTAATCGCACCATTCCGCCCCAAGAGTCCCCGCAAAGCCCATGAAAGACATGTGGATTGGAGCGGGCCTAGCAGCAAAGACCTCATTCCGGGCACCACGGGTGTACCCATTCAGGTTGATGAGGATATGGATTCCGTCTTCCACAATTTGTCTGACGAGTCGATCGACGGGCCATCCACTAGCATCGTGAAATACCGGCGCTTCTTTCTCGATCTGTTGGCGATGGATCGACTTGTCGCTCACGGTCGTAGCGTAACAGTATGCTTTCACCCGAGAAGGATTGTGCAGTCCAAAGACGGACTGCATCAGATGGGCCAGCGGGTGGTTGTTGAAGTCTGATGACACGTACCCGACCTTGATGTAAGGGTGCGGTGGGGGAGGCGGAGGGAAAACAGTAGCAGGCAGCCACGGCGAACGCAAGGTGGAACAAGAGATACGAAGCCCATTCCGCTGCGAAATTTGCCGGATCTGCTTCGCTGACAGCGGGCAGGTGAAGGTATGGAAAGGCAGGACTGTCGGCGCATTTGGCGCCGTCAGGCCAGAGGGAAGCTGCGGTCGCCGATACTTGGTCAGAGGGTATTCTTTGCCATAGACGTACCGATCCTGATACCACTGCCAGGTAATCGACCTGATGGCACGCTCCACGATCCTCACAATCCTAGAGCCCTCCCACCGCTGGCCTGCCCACGCCTGCAGGATTTTAGCCAGAGTACCAAAAGTGACATGGCCGCGCGAACTGGCTGCGGGAGCCAGTTGCGCACACAACTGCTCAATCACATTGGGAGTCAGCAAACCACGACCCCACGCTTCCCCTTCTTTGAGTTGACGGTCGACAATCTCAACAACCCGTTTGATCCAGCCAGTCCCTGTTTCAATGGTGTATGCGTCGCGGATCATACCCTGTTCATCGACATGCCACCGGTCTCGGAACCCATAGCCGTTGCCAACGCCACCGCGGCCAACCCAGTTGCAGACAGAATTGAGAGCGTTGGCTAGGCCACACACTGCCTCAGCAAATTCCGGATTCACTTTGACGGCACGCTTGTAATAGACGATAGCATCGTTAACGCGACCGGCATCTTTGACTGCGTTCGCCAGGTTCGCCAGCGCAATGTCAAAGTTACTATCGCAATGAACGGCCTGTTCATACATTCGGATAGCCGCTTGCAACTGGCCAATATCCTTGAGCAGGCTTCCAAGATTTGTGTAAAGATGGGCATGTCGCGAATCGAGGTGTAGACCGTAGTTGTAATACGCGAGAGCTAACGATATTCCCGTGCCAGGAATTACACCGGGTATTTCAGGATGCTGCATCTCTCCGCTTGGACGTGGTAGAACTTTCTTGGGGGCATTGTTCTGAATACCAGCCAGCAAGATACCCACATTATTTGCGGTGGATGGACTTGGCTGAAGAGAAAGGGAAAGATAATAGAGTGCTAGAATATCCCGAACGCCCGGAGCAGATCTTGGAACGCCGGAGCTGGAGATATTAGACATGCCGTCTTGGTATATCTTGGCCAGAGAGAGCAACGAGTTGCTGGTAGTAGATATAGCGGCCTTTCTTGCCAGACCTTCCGGCACATATTTGATCCCCGGGGGTGTTCCGCAGGGAGCAAAGACCAACTTTGCGGTTTGCAGAGCATGGTCTGGATACAGGAGAATGGTCTCCTGTTGCTCACGTTGCTCTGGGCCGGGGTAGCCGTGATGCGTACCCTGCATGAAGGCCGAGAATATCTGCTTGATCAGGCTTTGTATACCATGACGCCTCCTTCCAGCTGCAATCAGAATAGCATCCTCAAAGGCTACGGCAGCTGCAGCATTGTCACCTAGGGCATATAGCATATTTCCCTTTGCGTGGACGAGAGCCAGCATTCTGCCATTATCACAGCCAGGTATGGCGTAGCCGCTGGAACCAAATCCAGCCGAGCCAACATCTGCCGAGCCCCGATTTGTGGCAACTGACCGACCAAAGTCGTCATCGTAATCAAAGGACGCTTTCTCATAGGAACCCAAATCGGACGCACTCGACGCTCTGCTCTCCGCGTCGCTCTCAGGTTCACTCGCGTGTTCGTCGGACGCGAAACAATCGCCGTTCTTAGGGGAGCGTATGGAATTCTGCACGAACTCAATGATGTTGACTGCTTCCTTGCCACGTTGGCTGCTGCACAAAAGACCGATCAGGTGCTCTACCGCCTCAAAGAAACTCGGGCGGAGCTTAACGGCACGAAGCCAATGTTGCAGGGCCTCATCTCGGCGATCCAGCGCCAGAAGGGTGGCCGCAAGATTGGATATCGCTTCCACATGCCTGTGCTTTGTTAGACAGCTCAGCTACTTACAGACAATCGCATACTCACGTTGCATCTCGAGCGATGATTCTAGTATACCAACGCATGGCCTTATGGTAATCTCCAAGCCCATAAGCGAGACAGCCTCCAAGAAGCATCCCATCAATCCATTCCCAACCGCTCTCCGCGCAGAGATGGGATAGCATCTCCAAAGATGAAACAGCATTCGCTGTTATAGAACCCTCGTTCAACGGTGCGGCACCGAAACGAGACGTTGCCGTGGATGCAGTAAACCGTCCAGTGTGGCGGAGCCTGTCGAGCATCTGTACATCGGTTGCAGCTTGCGGGAACTGAGACAGTGAAGCACGTTCATACCGACGGCCAGCCTGGAAGCTGGCAGTATCATTGTGGCCTATGTTGCCAATGGTGTTGTTCCTCTGAACAAGATCATGCTGGCCCGAAGAGTAGTTATTGTGACGAGTCGATTCCAGCGTATTAGTGTTGGAAAAATCAAGACCAGGCTGACGCGGTGGTTTCGGGTATATACTCGGTTTCAGAAAACGCTGACTCTGTCCCTCAGCAGCCGCGGTCGAGATGCTATTCCGTCGTGCTTGGTGGATGGATGCCAGTAGGTCAACGTAAACACCATGAGCCCATGTCAGCACCTTCTCCTTGAACTCCACGTTCGTTGCCTGTGGGCTTGCCGTAGAGCCCAGTTGGACCCCTTGGGTATTTGGAGGACCTGACCATGACGGGCCTGTGTCGTGGACCTGCTGATGCGAAAAGCCAGGGGTAGGATTAGACTGGCGCGTATGGTACGGCAGTGTCCGCTGGCCGCCCGGCAGACCAGCGACTTTCTGCTCCGAATGACGCCGAGGAAAGTTATTCTTCATGGACAACTCAGAGTTGACCATTCCAGCAGGGGCCTGATTCCACGCCAGGCCCGGGTCGGGATGACTGCCTGAAGATAAAGCGCCCCGACTGAAGGGCTGTTGGCCTGCGTCGAATAATTGAAGGGCGGGTGGGTTTGTCGCCTTTGCAAAAGGAGTGGGCGAGTCGAATCGGGCATCCCGAAACGCCGCTGGGCGATACGGGATATACACTCCATCGGGCCAATATGGACCATATGGTCCCGTTCCTGCCGACGCGGTAGGACCGACACAGGGCTGGAGTGTCGCTGGTAGAACTGTAGGAACATAGGCACCATTGTGCCAGTAAAATCGCTGCTGGGAAGGCTGCATTGGTAGCGACTGATTCAGCATGGAGTCCATTCCTGGAACATAGTTCAATGAACGAACCCAACTGGTGCCATTCATTCCTTGGGTCAACTCTGCTGGACCTGCATTAGTTCGGCTCGAATCATTTCGATATACGGGCGGGAAATTCATGTGCTTCCCGGCTGAAGACTGATCCAAATTGGCCTGTTGCCATGTCTCCACTGGGAACCCTGTATGGGGCGGTATCAGGTGGCCCGAATCGATCGGCGAGACCAAGAGGTGCTTGCTCGCGGGCTGAATGGTGGTATCCCCTGGTGTGCCATCATACCCAGCCGCCAGTGTCCCGTTCGGTGTTTTCCTTCGTAATGCATGCTCGCCAGCACTCTTCGGGCTAGGTACCAGACCCGTGGCATCAGGTACCTCGAGGCGTTGAATAGGATGCGGATATTGCAGCCGAGATCGAGCTACGGACTGGAACGAGTCTTTGCCGAAATCGCTGCGGGGTAGTGACGTGAGAAATGATGTGTTGCGGTCGTAAGGCCCGTTTGTAGCGTCGGCACCGTGCCGATAACTAAGGTGGTGCGGCTGGACTGGCGGGAACGGTGCTACTGAGGGCAACATCTTGACCTCAAAACAGTATTGGCACCGCCTTCTTCCGCCGGGATTATAGATATATATGCAAGATCAAGGTTGAAAGTCGGAGAAAGAGAGGAGAAAAGAAAGAAAGAGCGAGTTTGTGTGTGAGAGAGAGAGAGAGAGGGAGGGAGAGACCGCGACGGAGACGTATAGGGACTCGGAGTATCAAGAATAGGGAGAAGCAATGCAGGGATCTCGTCGAGGCGGTTCGGGGCGATCGAAATCAGACAGTGGTGGTCGACGGGGTTATCACTCTCGATAAATTATCAACAAGCATCCTCCTTGAAACGTTTCCTACACCTCATCCTGGGCATGAGCCGGCTCAGTTGACACTCAGCGAAGGCGCCCACCGTTTGACCCTGGGCTCGACATGAACGCTGATTGTAGCCGGCAATGACAGAAGACGCAAGTGCGGGCGCGGCGAAAGTGATGGAGGAGGAAGAAGAGGAGGAAGAGGAAAGGGAACCGAATGGAGAGGCTGAGTCCGGGGCGAAGATACCATTCACGAAGCCGCTGGATTCCAGAAGATCAGAAAGACACGCAGGCGATCCGCACCGACAACGCTATTTGCTGCGTGAGAGACAGGTGGGTGAAGAAACGATGCAAGGGAGGGAAAGGGATCGATGAGAGAGAATCACAGCCCTAGTCAGCTTGCTAGAGCGCCCACACTGACGCAGGTGTCCGCACGACGCGATCAACCACTAGGCAATCCTGCGCTTGGCAGAAATGCTGTACTTTGGGGTGGGTGGGTGGGTGTGGGTTGCGAAAGAGGGGGTCAAAGGGAAAAGGGAAAAAGAGAGTGACCGGCAGGTAGGCTGACCGAACAAACGGGTGTTTAGTTGAAGGATGGATAATGGCTAACGCAAGTGTGGTAGGGAAAGAATAGGAAGAACTGCAAGATGAATAGAGAGGAGGATTAAAGAGGCCGAGGACCCAGATCTGCCCCGATGTCACGACCGACGAAATCCGAATCAGGGAAACGATAGCGTAGGGGAAAGGTTGAACATGGCACCACTAGCTGCTGGCAATCACAACAACTTAGTGTGTCCTCTTGTCTTTTGATATGAGAAAGAAAAAAAAAAAATTAAATGATCTTTGTTTTTGTTTTTGTTTTTCTTTTCTTTTCTTTTTTCTTCTGTTCGTGTCTAATTATTCTTGTCTTTTTGACGATCTCTTTTTTTTTCCCTCACAGGTTGGGGAGGAGCTGATTGGACCGAAGTACTATTCCAAACGGCGATGCCTCAGATCCAAGGCACCACAGGGCTGGCTGTTCGAAGCGGAGAAGATCCAACGGCGGGCGGAGAGGTCAACAATCAATAGGGGACAAATATGAAGAACAGGCGCAAGGAATTGCTGATGATTCCCCGAAGAGACCAAAAAGAAAAAGCCAGTTGAGTCCGGGGTAGGACTGGCCAAGACCGTGAAGAAAGAAAAGAGAGAAAAAAGAGGTATGCGACCAACGGGAGGAAATTAAAGGAAACGGATCATAAAATTCGATAGGGAATTCCGATTGAAGTGGAAGAGGATGGAATTGAAGCTTAGGAGGGGGGGGAAAATATTAAAAAAATAAGGAAAAATTAAAAATTAAAATCAAAAGGCCAACTACTTACTTACTTTCTTTCACAGAAGATATCCATACGGGCAGTGAGCTACTACTAACTAACTCACTAATGTAGCAGACAAAGAGTCATCGACGAGCCAAAGTCTCCATCAAGCGGGACGCGCATCATGACAGAGCGGAGCTTCCTAAACGCAAGCAGTGGGCGGCGGCAGCCTATAGCTCCCGTTTTGTTCTAGGGTGGTTCCTTTTTTGGGGTGGGGGGAGGGCAACCTGAGTGGGTTCTGAGGATGGACCAGCGGGAGTGGAGCCAATAGGCGCTGGCCTGGACCAGGGTGGAGTGGGGAGGAGGTTACTGAGTTGGGACGCGGGTGGGTTTGGGCGTCCAGGTTGATTACTTGGTGGTGGCTTGGGACCAAATGAGAAGAGAGGAAGAGGGAGGGGGGGAAAGGAAAATGAACAGCAGAAAAATCAAAATTCGAAAGAGAAAAAGGGAAAATATATCATGAAGTAATAAGGATGGACAAAAGAAAAATGAAAAAGGTACATGCATTTACGTATGAACGCCATACTGTGTGCAAATTGGTTACTCTGAACGGATAACTACGGAGTACTTAACAGTAGTATCTTATTGATGTTCCCCTCTGTAGGTACAGTAACTAAATCAGGGCGGAAAATTTGGTACTAGATGGCACAAAGGTATAACACGCGGTGGCTTGGATGGTTGTGGTGCCTCAAAACGCAGATATGCGACCGATCCAAGGGAGCAAGCAAATTCTCAGAATCCTCAACCCTCAATAATCTTTTCTTCCTTTTTCTCACCCCCACCTAGAAACCGCGAAACAAGGGAAACACGAACATCCATCACATTTCAGTCCCACCCGAGGATACTACGATCCAACGGCCAGGATGGACCGGCGCTAGCCACTTGGGCGCAGGCAGCGAATCCAGGCCAGTCTAACGTCAGTGGACCAGCAGCCATGGCCCCCCCGGTCGCGAGTGGCGCCCGCAGTGGTCAAGCCTTGGGGCCTTGGGGGCCTCTTGGAAGTTGGAGTTTGGGAGGGTTTGTTTGGTGAGTGCGGAAGGGCGATCTGGCACCTTCGGTGGGTTCGAGTGGAGTCCGTCAAGGAATGGCCTGCGAGCTGGCCTTGGATGGGTGGAATGAAACTAGAAAAAAAAGGTGGGTTTCATAATTTTGAGATTAAATAAAATCAATCAATATTGTGAATATCTTATAAGTATCATATTACTTTGTATATCCGGAGTATATATAGTATATAAAGGATGGGTTTTATTGATATGTATATCGATATTGATTTCGTAACCCAATTTACTTGAGCAGTGCCGATTAATATGTAGGGATAATATCTGAAGAAGACTTGTCTACTAGTCAAATAGGAGAATTTCGCAAGGAAAGAAGCAAGATTGAATTAGCAGAATCCTTCATATACTAGTAAGTAGCTAATTAGTATATTATGCGTATACATCGCCGCGAGGCTGAGACATCTGGCCACAAGCCCAAGGCCAGCATCATTCTGCAGCCCTGGAGGCATCCAGAGGCTGAAAAGAAAATCCCAACTAAGACGCATGCCGCGTCCGATCAGGTGGAAAAGATGGCCGAATCATTGCCACTGGATAAATATCTCAGGTATGTCAATATGTATAATAAGTATGCACTATGTGGTACAGAGCGCGGTGCCGTTATAAAAGAGATGACTGTCAATGGGATTCTGATAGGTTGCCTTCTCTCTTGTGACAGCAACTGCTGAGCGTTTTCTGTCGCTTTGATCCATCCGTGCCTAAATGTTGATATCAGCCAATCCATATCCCCCCTACACACCATACATCAAAGATTATCGTAGATTTGATTTGAAGGTGTCAAAGTATCATTCATTCATCAGGCCTCCCTTTTCCACCCTTATGTAACCAACAACAACAACAACACATCAACATGATGCATTATACTTTTAAATTCCCACCCCTCTCCCATTTCCCCCCAAATTTATTTTCCCCCGGTGTAACTCAAAATCTAGGTCTCGGGAATGGAGGAGGGATCCATGAAACCTACCTTAGTTTCACTGTATCCCCATCCACTTAGACAGGGCGATTCCAGCCATCGTCTTTGACCACAGATCTAAGTGTTACCGGCATTCCAAGTTTTTCTCCCTCTTCCATTTCCACCGTCCGGTCATCTCCGTCGTCCAGATACAGTGTAATAGAAAACAATGTAAAGGCAGAAACTTTTTTAGTAGGGACGGGGATCAACGAGGGGCAGCGGGACCGGGGCCGCCCTGGAAATCAAAAATGGAATAAAATAAATAGAATAATAAAAGAAGAGTAGGCTGTGATAATCCATGGGCCTTGTCACGAGCGGTCTGGCGATGAGGATCGGCAAACTTTGCTGCGCTGTGGCTCTTCCTGCCTCTCCACTCCGGTAGGCGCTTAGAGGAGGGGGTCCTGTCTGAGAGGAGAGTTGTACAGTAACTACACTTAGTAGACCAACTAGCTGAGAGGGAGGAGAGAAAATAAAAAAGAGGGGAGGGGGAATTGAGATGGCGAAAGTCAAATTCATTAATCTTCTCCTTGTGGCCGTTGATTTAATGATAACTAAATATCTTTCGCTATAGTTAGTTTGGTATCTCGGTTAGTTGCTAGTTGGATAGTTAGCATACATAGCAAATTCATCCGTATGGAGGCGGAATCGAACACATCCACCCCGTCTGCACCCGTCCTCCCGCCATGTTTCACTTCCCAAAAGGACAGCATTTCACTTCATTCCATCCTGCTGAGCTGGCCAGAAGAAAAGAGATTTTGATGATCACGGCCTGAACTTGACTGCCTGCCTGGCTGACTCAGCCGACTCCCTCTCAAGTGGTGAGTCACGAGAAAGATAACTTCCATTCCATCAACTCACTAAAGTGGGATAGATGCAGTCTTATGCATGTCGGTGCGCCTGTCTGTGCCTATCACAACAACAACTTGCATTCTGAGTCGCAGCCATAGCCCTTCCGATGGAGACACTTGCAGGCTTTGCTGGACTTGAGAGATCCATTACTCTCCCCATCCATGTAGCCATCCATAGCCTGCCTCTTTTTCCATTATTATTCATTCGGTCATTCATTTCCCTTTCTGCCTACGGACGGAGTACCGCTACCCGGGATTTGTGTTCGTTAAGGGGGGCGCCCCAGGCGGCACCTGCAGCTCGGGGCGCGTATCAGGAACGCCGCCAATTGAACCATCCCAGTAGTTATTAGTAGTAGTACTTAAGTCCCCGGTGGGTGGGGAAAGCTCATGGAATCTTCGGGCTCTCGGTGTGTCCGGGCGCGGCCCCATCCGATTCCAGCCTACGCAGTATGTGTCTATTTGGCGACTGTCGATGCTCACCATCACTAGATTCTCCGTCCTGGTGTATGGTTTGCATGGAGTGGACTACGGAATGGGGCGTTGGTCTCCATCTTCAGGCGCGAGACGGCAATAGTGATGGTTAGTATACGCATGGGACATGCCGATCGTTCAGGCGGTAGTAGTCAAGACTCGATTTCTTCAGAAGGACCGCGGGTTGATCACTTTACCGAGGCATAGCTAGACAAAAGTTGAAAAGGATGGAAAAGAGTAAATTTCATTGCTTGAATTGATTCAATTGTCTACGATCATCAGACATAGTCACATGCCTGGGGCTAAGATTGTGATTTTGACCGTTAAATGGACCACTGTATCCACAGAAAGAAGCACGAAGCTCCCCTCGAAGATACCGCGGTGAGTAGCAGGTCGATTTGCTCTTCTTTGCTTAAAATAAGCCTATACCACGTTGTGATATGACAATTCCAGGCCCGAAGGCGGGAAAAGACGGTAAGGGCCAGAGTGTTGCAAAGGTCGTCTGGGTGGGGACTCATTATGATCCAGCTTGCATAGAAGGCAAGTAAACCATATGTGAGACGGGAAAAGAGAGAAGGGGAGTCTCAACGAGGACGTCGAGTGAAAACACTTATCGAATTCGAAAGAACAGAAATGGGGAATCTAAAGTCATGTCTCATAAGACAATTTTGTTTCGAATAAGATGATCATATTCCGTAACTAGCATGCCGGTAAAAAACCACGACCGCCGCGAATTTGAATCATTTACTCGGAGGGGACTGCGAAATAGTTAGTGGCAAAGTCTCGAAAGATATCGTATGGTGGTTAACATACTGTCGATCTCGCCAGCCTTGACGTCGTCGGAGACGTCCTTGGGGCTGCGGCCATCGACCTGGCAACCGACGGAGAAAGCGGTACCGAGGATCTCAAGGACGGTACCCTTGAGCTCCTTAGCAAGAGAGCGGTGGCGCATCTTGCGGGCGATCTCGATGATCTCGTCCAGAGGGATGGACTTGCTGTGCTTGATGTTCTTCTCCTTCTTGCGGTCACGGGGAGGCTCCTTGAGGGCCTTGATGACCAGGGAAGAGGCGGAGGGCACAACGGAGACCGCGGCCTGACGGTTCTGGATGGTCAGGCGGACGGTGACACGGAGACCCTTCTATAATACCAAAAAGATGCTGTTAGCACTGTAACCTCCTATGGTTGACCCGGACGATGTGCTTACCCAGTCACCAGTGTTCTTGGCAATATCTTCACCGATCTTCTTGGGGGACAGACCGAGAGGACCAATCTTGGGGGCCAGAGCAGACTGGGCACCGACCTCACCACCAGTCACTCTCAGGTGGCTATAAAAGATCGTTAGCAGCTGCGTCAAAAATCGCGCCGAGTGATCTTCAGAATATGCAACTTACATGATCTTCACCTCATTGGGGTCGAACTTGGGAGCTGCCCAATGGGATACATATTAGTTCGCCTATTCGATTTCACCAAGGAGATGATACTTACGCATGGCGAGTGCGAAAGGTCGTCAATCGTCCTTGGAAGGTGTCGGGGTGGATAGTACAAAGAAGGAAAGAAAAAAGCCGTCGAGGCCGGAAGGATATTTAGCTGCCGTTGCGCCTGAGCTAAGCGAGACCCAGAAGCGGTAAGTCTCGTAGGGCTCAACCCATGTAAATCACGTGACCATATTGGGACTATGAGCTGTCTTCCCGAAACGGTAACTACTACTATCTAAGTAAATAGTCCTACTTAGTACTGTGAAAGATAATGGTAACTGATCCACTCCATGATCCACTCATATTACGAAATTTGTTTGTATTCAATTGGTGAATCTAGGTAGTTGCTATATTCCAGGGTAACGAACAAAAATCAATAACCGCTAAAGATACAAACGACCCGAGGACTGGCGCAAACCGCCCCTTGCTCTCGTCATGGCCATTACCTCGTCAAATCTAGCTGGTTCCGGAAACAGCAAGCCTAAAGCACCTAGTTAGCAACGGTTTATATCTTTGTGTTGATCAAGGAAGGACTTACTTCATGAGATGGTCCATAAAAGTCTGCAACGAGACATCATCAGTGAAGATGATCTGCGACGTCACACCTCCGCCGTATCCTCCTGTTGTGTGGGTAGTAGATGGGTTCAGCTTAGACAAAAGGAAACGAGCCTGGGAGCCACCAGCATCGCAAACGATGAAACGGGGCAGCGGGAAACGATCGGAAATCAGTTCCTGTGTACCTAGTTAGCCTGTATCCCGGCAAAATTGATATGGTATAAAACTAACCCTAGCGTCTTCCTTTGGTTGCTCGAGGAGCACCTTCAGGTTCTCGTAGCCCTCCTGATCCTGGTAACCAGCCTTCCTCCATTCCGCGATAGTCTCACCGTGGAAAATCAGGATGTGGAAGAAAGTGTCCAGAAGAAGGATGTGAGCGGGCTGGATAGAAGCCGAATCCAAGAGCACAGGTTGGCTTCCTTCGTGTTCAAGGGAGTAGGAATCCAGAGTTGGCTGAATCATAACAAGAGAGTCGCCAACATCTTCGTGGTTGAGCACATGCCGGTAGAAAGCAGTCTCGTCAGGCGAGTTGTTGAACACCTGCAAGAACTGGCTTCGGCGCAGGTGGAACATGAACTGAGGGTAGAGGGTGAAGTTCTTCTCCAACCGGAACGACGTAGGGTCATCTTTCCGGTAGTCGGCGAAACGAGAGCAAAGTCTGATGAGCATCCGGTCAACCCATCTGAGCACATCGGGGCCATCGTCCACCTCGGCCTTGAACACGGCGATACGGGCCATCAACACGGCAGCTGCTTCCTGATCGAAAGACTGCGCCAGCGTAGGGTCGCCCGCAGGACCGCTGAGGGGCCGCGCGACCGTTGTGACCCGAAGGTGGTAGTGACCCGACGAGTGCTGGTAGTATGTGAGGAATTGCATCATTCCCCTTTGAGGGCCTGGTTGCACTGCTGCAGGGCCGCCCTGGTTTGCTATTTCGAAGTAGACGCCGTAGCTCGAGGCAGGGTCGATACCACACATCTTCCATGCGCAAGTGTTGCCGATACCGCATTCCGTTTCGCCGACAGAGCTCGACTTCTTGTTCAGGGAAACGGCGTGACCAATAAGGCCGGTGACCTTCAGCTCCTTGGTAGTCAGAACCTCAAGAGATGCATTGAAGCCCATGAGTAGGTTATCCTTAGCATCCTTGTCGAATATCCTGACGAACGACTGCTTAAATTGTGAGGAGGTGAAGCTGTCTGTGAGAAGGATATGTCCACCGGTGTAGTTGGCAAGGTTCTTCATCTCCAGCATACCGACCTGATCGAGACAGCCGGCAAAGACATCAACAATATGTCCGTTGTTGGCAGCACGCTTAGCCATGTTGTCATAGAACTGGATACGTCATTAGAACCGT